ACGCTGGCCATCCTCTTGATTATGCCTACCAATCACCAAACCAGATAACTACAGATAAATCCTACGGCTCGGCTCAAAACTACTATAAAAGTGAAAGGGCCGGAGTTTTGAGTGGACCTGAATGGGCCGAAATGGCGAGAGTCTCTAAGAATCCTACTATAGATGGTTTTGTGCCTGATGAAGACTTCAGAAATAACATAAGTAAATGGAACGATCACAAAGTTGATGTTGCTTACAAGTCCAATTTGTTGAAATTCGAGCAAAATAAAGATTTGGCTCAAGAATTATTGTCTACTGGGAATCGCCCTATCGTTGCAAGACAAGGAACTGAATGGTCAGAGACCAACTCAGAGATGCTGATGGTCATTCGAGATCAACTGCGAAAACAAGCTGACTGATTTGAATTGATTGCCGAATGAGTTGAACTTTTCACTTCATTTAAATTGGTTGGTCAGACCTCAACTCAATGGTCTGATGATCATCCGAGATGATCTGCGACGACGAGCTGGTAATTGATTGCTTACCTCTCTACATTTTATCTAATTTTTTACTCAAATTATTTATTAACATTTTTCTTTCAAAATTTTGATTTAGTTAACTAATAACCTTAAGACACTTTTTATATGGTAGTTCCCAATGACTTTCTTAACTTAAAATTTTCAATAAATACTTGAAACTAAAAGATGACAAATTAAACCAGAAAACTCAATTAAGAACGGTAAAACTCATTTGATATGTTTTACGGTATACAAACATTTAATAATCAATGTCATTCAACGCAAGCATCCATTTTTGATTTATGACTGCGATTAACGAGATTATGAATTTTTTTCATGCATATAAGCGTAGTTTTTTAGAGACATTGTCTAGGGTATCAAGGACAATCTATTTTTAACCAGAACAATCATACAATTACATGATATTTTGGTTACATGAATTGTCTAGCCGTTTAGTGAGTAACCCACTCTTGTTCAGGGAAAGTAACAAGGCTACCTGGTTATCAAAACAAACAGCAGCCAAGAACGCGAACGAGATCAAGTAAAAGATAAAAAACTCTTTTATTAGTTTCAGATAGAGTTATAGATTCACCTGATAGGCAGGTGAATAATAATTCATTCTACATGATCATATTTTTGTGATCTATGCAAGAAATTTTGAAAGTAGATGAATCTTTTCAAGCCATTCATTTGATCGTCAACCCTTTCTATTATTTGAGGCAGTTCTCATAAACACCTTTCACTAAGCAAAGCAAATATAAACCCTTAGTTTTCAATGAATAAATTCATTATATATTGTCAATTTACATGTATTGTATCAGGTTCTTACTTAAAAAGTAAATCTTTGATAAATCAGTAATTTATAAAATTGTTGCCCTGTGCTCATGATGGAATCGTTCAATATTTCAACAATGTACTTTGATGAAGGTTCGCTAAATGAATTGTTTGGTTCATTTAACATCGAAAGATCCGACATATTCAACATTGATGAAACATCAATGTTCCATCATAACTATAAAACTAAAAATCAGATAAGTACCTTAGAATTTGACTATGAAACATGTCGCCTTAAAGTACTAACCTACGACTCTGCTCAATATCTTTATCAGAGTAAGAGACGCGGACTGCTGAGTGGACCTGAAGAGGAAGAGCGAGTTCGACTTTCTTCTGACCCTTTTGCAGCTGGTATGGTGAACACCGACAACTTTGTGAATAAAGCAGATGAATGGTACACAATTGATATTGATTTGGCCTTTAAGTGTAATTGGCTGAAATTCAAGCAGAATGAACATTTTGCTGACGAACTATTGAGAACTGGCAGAAAATTTATTGTTTATCCAGGGACTAGAGGGAATAAAGACTGGTCAGATATCACGGCAAAGATCCTGATGATCATCCGTGAAGATCTAAGACGGCAAGCTGAACGAAAAGATTAAAGGCCTACATTAACTTTAATGTTTTACTGAAATTGAACATTTTACATTTTTGCTGTTAACACTAAAGTTCAATAAAGTTTATTAATAAAACAAGTGAATTATTAATGAAAAGTTTCCAGTTTAACTTACTAATTATCGCTGATTCTTGTTAAAAAGATTTTACGTATGCATTCGCGACAAGTGCTTTAGCTGCACCTTTTGGTCTTCACATTTCAGCAAATTATTTTAAAATGCTGTTTTTATGTTTGAAGCATAGTGACTTCATTTATTGTTGTTAGTGTAAGTAGTAAATTGCAAATCAAATTGTATATCATTTCATTACGATTTTAATCTTAATTTTTCTGTAGTAGCTTTGGTCAAGGTGTCCGAGAAACGTAATTATGAGTTACCGAAAAGTGAAAGTTGAAACGTGCTAAGAATCCTAGAAACTATTTCAATGGTGTCCAGAAACACAATCACTAACGAAGATCGATGAAATAAGCGTAGCACTGATTTGGTCTTTAATATTGGTAGAAATTCATTCGCAATGAGTAGCTTGCAGTCAAATTATGAAGACAAACTAATTCACTTTTGCTGTTAAAATTTTATTGCACTTTTGATGTCAAACTTGGCAAAATTGTCAATTCTGGTTTACTAATACTTCGCATTATGAACTTCATAATATGAAGCAACAAAGTAACAATCTTGAACCAGAAGTGAGTGAGTGTCTCCCTTACATCATCAAGGCCATTGAAACCTCCCTTCATTTCCTAACCACTGCTAACTAGTTGATGAAAGGAGTCAGGTACTCACTCTGTCAGTGGGATAAAAGACTCGACGAAAATTGAAAAGTTCATTTTCACCTGGGTTTTTGGACTATCAACATCAACTCAACTTTCAACTATTCTTGAAATCTTTTTATTTCTGAACCTATTTATTTATTGTGCACCTGACAGAATACCTGTTTAAACCAACTTAATATTTTGAATAACAAATTAAACAGTTTAAATATGAGCAAGCCTGGTAAGTCATCATCTCGAGTGACCGCAGATTCATTGCATCAGTACTACAAGACTTTGGATATTGACCATGATGCCAAGATAAAATACATTGACGCTGGCCATCCTCTTGATTATGCCTACCGATCTCCAAACCAGATAACTACAGATAAAACCTACGACTCGGCTCAAAACTACTATAAAAGTCTAAGGGCCGGAGTTTTGAGTGGACCTGAATGGGCCGAAATGGTGAGAGTCTCTAAGAATCCTACTATAGATGGTTTTGTGCCTGATGATGACTACAGAAATAACATAGATAAATGGGAGAAACACGCAACTGATGTGGCTTACAAGGCCAATTGGTTGAAATTCACTCAAAATGAAGACCTGGCTCATGAATTATTGCGTACTGGGAATCGCCCGATCGTTGCACGAGAGGAAACTGAATGGTCACACACCAACTCAGAGATGCTGATGGTCATCCGAGATCAACTGCGAAAACAAATTGAAGATTGATTGCTGAATGAGTTGAGATCAGCTTTACACTTTATTTAAACTGGTTGGTCAGACCTCAACTCAATGGCCTGATGATCATCCGAGATCATCTGCGACGACGAGCTGGTAATTGATTACTTACCGTTCTACATTTTATCTAATTTTTACCCAAATTATTAATATTTTTATTTCAAAATCCTAACTAATAACACTAGAACACTTTTTATATTGTAGTTCCCAATGACTTTCTTACCTTATAATTTGCAATAAACACTTGAAACTAAAAGATGATAAATTAAACCAGGAAACTCAATTAAGAACGGTATAACTCATTTAATATGTTTTACGTTTATAAAAAAATTTAATAATCAAAGTCATTCAATTAAACGACGAAAGCATTCAATTTTGATTGTATCTTTACTGTTTTAGGCACACTTTTAACTGCGATTAACGAGATTATGAATTTTTTTCATACATTCAGCTTAGGTTTTTAGAGACAGTGTTTAGGGTATCAAGGGCAATCTATTTTTATCCACAATCCCATTACCTAAACATACAATTACATGGTATTTTGGTTACATGAATTGTCTAGCCTGTTGAGTGAGTAACTTACTCTTGCTTGGTGAAAGTAGCAAGGTTATTGAAGTTCCTACCTGGTTATCAAAACAAACAGCAGCCAAGAACGCGAACGAGATCAAGCAAAAGATAAAACGCTCTTTTATTTAACCAGCTTAATCTAAAAGTAGGTCGATTATGACGATTACTATAATGTGAGCTATGGAAACTTGTCTTCATTATTAACTATTGGTAGCAGGTTGAACCCGCGTCTTCTTACGTTAGGTCTTCTGCAGACGTTTCTCTGCTTACAAAACGTGTCCATGAGATCCTCAAAATTCATTTTCACCTTTTTGTCGGATTCTCAACATAGATCCATTTTGTAATCTTATTAAGTGAACCCATTTCTGCATTGTGAACTTGACAAAATACACTTTTTTTACCAGTTTCATTGAGAATGGAAAGTCTTGGTATTGCGACTAAATTTTTATACGACCCCTCACATGAATTGTTTACATTCAATTTTTCTGTAAATGTGATCATCATGCTTTGGGGTTTTTCAACACGGATTTAAAGTTAGCAACTCTTTCAATTTTTCATCGCGATATCTGTTCTCAAGAAGATCGTCTACAAGGCCATTTAGATTTTTGAAATTAACCAATGACTAATTAGAAAACATTAGCTCAAAAGTAGTTTTTGTTACAATGAGTCGCAATTACTGGTACTCACTGTCTTAACTTTACTGTAATTATTCTATTAGCCGAAGTGTTACCACAATCATTCTTTGAATCTCCAGGTTAAACCTGCTACTATTATTGCTTGGCTCCAAAATTGAATAATATCATATCACAGTACAAATCATAATTGTAAAGTTGAAAGGCTTTCCTTTTTTATAATGTTTACAATGAAAACCTTTTGTAACTTTTCTCACAGCGACCTCTTGCAGCATGTTGAGCAAGCTCAACTTTATTTACTTCTTGAAATTTCCAGAACATCCAGAAAATTCTGGAAAATTTGCGCCCTCTATATATAAATTGGTAACCTTTCAGGACTCTTCAGTCAAGAATTGAACATTGATGAAATTTTATTGCATTAATCAGTAAAATATTATTGTTTACGTCAAATTAGTTTACTGTTTGTTTGTGGTTTGTGATCTTCATTTTTCATAATGGGTAAAGATTACTACAAAATTTTAGGAATATCCAAAGATGCAAACGACGATGATATCAAAAAGGCTTACAAAAAGATGGCCCTTAAATATCATCCGGACAAGAATAAAGCAGCCGGAGCCGAAGAGAAGTTCAAAGAGATCGCTGAAGCCTACGATGTGCTATCTGACAAAGAAAAAAGGAAGCTTTACGATATGGTTGGCGAAGAAGGTTTGAAAAATGGTGCTGGTACGCCTGGTGGTCCAGATGGAATGCCTAACGGCTCTGGCTTCTCTTATGTTTATACTGGAGATCCAAGGGCGACGTTTGAACAATTTTTCGGTGCCTCCAATCCTTTTGAAGTATTATTCGGGTAAGTTGATCTATTTAATCAACCTTGATTTTACTTTTAAATTCTTTACTATCTCAGCTCTTCTGGATAGGTTTCCTTCTATCGATTTTTTTCATTTCACAATACTCATGGATTTCTTTTTTTCGTGTCTTATTTTTACAGAATGGGAGGATTGGGAGGTCATGATGATATGATGGACATTGATGGTTCTAATGGTTTCCCTGGTGGAATGTTTAGACAAACTCAATGCGGAGGTAACGGTTTCAGAACTCAATCCTTCACTAATGGAGGAACATCCGGTGTAAATAGACGTCGTCCCCCTGAACAAGATCCTCCTGTTGAACACGATTTATATGTAACTCTTGAAGAATTACTTAAAGGAACTACCAAACGAATGAAAATTACACGTAAAGTCATCAGTCCTGATGGTAAATCTTACAGACAAGAAGATAAAATTTTAAGTGTTAATATTAAACCAGGATGGAAAGCTGGTACAAAGATAACTTTCCAAAGGGAAGGAGACCAAAAAATGAATAGCATTCCTGCAGATATTGTATTTATTATAAGAGATAAACCCCATCCATTATTTAAAAGAGAAGGAGCAGATATTAAGTATACCGCCAAAATTTCCCTTAGAGAAGTAAGTATACTATTTTTTAAATCTAATTTTCTGTTACTGGAAGAATCTCATTGAGAGTTTCCCGAACTTTCTTCAGTTGTATATCCACTCTCCCTCATCCCCTATATCCTTTTCCCCTCTTTCGTCACTTATTCTTGCTCACTCTCTAAATATTGCGTGCTCATTTAAACTGAATCAAATACTAAATTCAACCTTATCTTTTTTATTTCACAGGCTTTATGCGGAACTTCTATTAAAGTACCAACATTACTCGGCACCAAAGTTGATCTCAAATTAACGGATATTGTTAACCCAAAAACTACTCGAAGACTGTCTGGTCAAGGTTTACCATATCCTAAAGAACCAAATCGTAGGGGTGATTTGATAATAGGGTTTGATATTAAATTCCCGGAGAATCTTAGTGAATCTACAAAACAACTGCTTTGGAGTAATCTCTTGTGATGATTATCAATTTTATCTTACTATACAAAAAACTGAACTGATTAATTTACGTTGTTAAAACTCATGTTCATAAAATGCATCATAAAATTTAAAATTATATCATAAACATCATTACATTGTCATTTCTCTTTATCATCAAATAAAATCATCAATTTCATTATAATTTTCTGTGTTTGTGCTCTTATTTTTATTTTATTTCTAGATAGTTCTCTATATTAAGGAATGATTTGTTCCATTTTAAAATTTTATTGATCAAGGTGAAACAATTTTAAATTTTTAACATTATTCATCATACAAAGAGTTTCTATTTACGGATATTGAAATAAATATTAAAAGTAAATTATTATTAGATAAAAAGGGTTTCCTTCCGATGAGAAAAACGATTTTGATTGACATTAAAAGAGTAAAGGTGAGATATTGCATGAAACAATTCCTAAGAAAATTCCAGCAATATAGACTGAATAGCTTACACGTATAGTTTTAATTAATTAGCTGATTGACTTAGCAGATAAAAAGGGAGAAATTGAAAAGCCTTAACTAGGAAAAAAATGGTAATGTTATGCTGAATTGACTTACTCACCAGAACCTAACACATACACAGACTGGTAGACCCTCTGTTATGCTACAATCTGTTATCAACTTCAGTTACCTTGTATTTTGTAACCTCAAGTATTAAAGGCGTTAACCTTAATCACATGTGCTCTATTTATCAATTTAATAGATGAATTAAAAATATAGACCATCCAGCAACTATAATTGTATGTTTTGGTAAGGTAAGAGATTATTTCATTCTGTATTAATGTTTTTATCTAGTAAAAGTGATACCTCTCACTATTTTCTTCCATTTTCTTGCCATATGTATATTCTTCTTTGGTTGTTGTCCTTTAAACAAAAATAATTTATTAAATTTCTTTTCATCGACAGTGATAATTTCAATTTAGTTTGGATGATTAGCATCACTTGAACCTCTACCTGGTTAATACACTCAATAAAACACTTATCATCGAACATTTAATGGAGTTTGCTGAGCTAATCAAAACAACCAAACTTGAAAATGTTATCCTGCATAGACCCTTCTGTGAGCCTATTGAGTGTGCTTTATGTATAACAAGTCATCAACTGTTGGTTTCATCTAGAAAAAACGATGGTGATGAGCTTTGGGTATGTTCATCATTTTTATCGCCATAAAATCTGGTTTACAATATGTGAATATCATGTTAATGCTTTACCGGTTCAATATACTGACAGTTACTAACTCTGACTCAGCTTGCAAGAGTTATTGATGTTTCCAATTTTGCTCATTTTTCTTCCATTGTTTCTTTAGCTTCTTCATTCTATCGTTGATGCTGTTGAAAGGAAAGCTACTCCGACCGGTGGAAGTATTACTCTAAAGTGCAAAGACTTTCAGATCATTCAGCTAGACATTAGAGGCCAAGACGAGTTTAACAATGTTGCTAACTCAATTGATTGTTTATCCAACTTGGATGATCCTCGATTGCTTTATCCCTTCTACTATCCATGTAACTTTGAAATCGTTGAGGATGGCTGGTTTGCATTCCAGATTGAGAAAGAATTTTCAAAGATAATGATGTATTCTGACGCTTGGAGAATCAGTTATGTTAACAAAAATTTTACGGTTAGTTCAAAGTATAATATTTAGCAAGAAAACTTCATCTCAAATTCATAAATTTCTCTAGATATGTCCATCATACCCTGAAGCAGTAATTGTTCCCAAATCAATAAACGATGAAACAATAATTGGAATAGCTGCTTTTAGATGTCTTGGTAGATTCCCTGTTCTCAGTTATCTTCATAAAAGCAATAAGGTAATGAGGATTTTTCATGTTACCTTCTTCAGTTTTATAGCTAATAATTTCTTACTTCAGGCAGCCATTATGAGAAGTGGCCAACCCATGGTGGGAACAAGTTCAAAAAGATGCAAAGAAGATGAGAAATTGATAAACACAGTTTTGGGATCACAAAAAAGAGGATACATCATTGAAACTCGGACACAGAATCTAGCTCAACTTGCGAGAAGCAAAGGTACAGTTTTCCCCAGAGTTTTTTGCTTTGCTGATTTATTTATGTTATTATGACTTTGATCTATTGTTTTTCAATGAATCACTTGTTGATGTAAAGACTATCAAATGAGAAGATAGACGTCAACTAAAATTCATTGTAGGCTTATATTGTTCTCTCTGACTTTTAAATTTTTCAACTCTGTTTCTATTCTGCAGGGAATCGCTTGTTCACCATTTCCTCAAGAAAACGAAGCTACACTATGGTCAAACGAATCTTGCTATGTGCCTCGTAAAAAGGAGCCGTTTTCATCAATCACTGAAAAAATATCCTGAAAGCTGGCTAGACATGAAAGATGCTATTGAGTTTATGCCTGACCCAAGATTGAAAGAGGAATTATTGAGAAGTAAAAGAAACTTGATGGTGGAAATCGCTTCAAAGGATGGACGACAACCAGTTGATCCAGATGTTGCTGAGATGGATTTTGAGTCCTGGGATATCAACCTGAAACCAGAGAATCGTAACCTACATGGAGCCATTGAGAGTTTAGAGATACGTTGGTCTGACGAAAGGGACGATGCATAAGACACTAGACCACTTAGACAAATACAAATATAATTGCTGA